GTATATATTTTCGATTGTGTATGCGATTTGAAAATAAGTATCATTAAACGCGTGAAATCTGTTGGACAATCTCTTTATCCCATCTGGCAATTGATATGGGATATAATCACTTGCATAAAAAGGTATATTGAATCAATGCGTGACAAACTTCCTCCTGCTGTACAAGGAAAAGTATTGGCAATTTTTGATTAAATGTTAAAGACTTTCATTCAAATGCAAGATTATTTTTTCGACCAGATTTGAAATGATTTTTGATATTTGTGAATCAATTATTGAAAACATGCACATATTTGCTGAGCAGACGAAAGAAATTCTTCTTCAGGAGAAACTAATTTCTTCTTTAAATGTCATCCAAGTAGTATTAGAATTGGGTCTACTAATCGGGGAAATATATCAAGATGTTCATCTCTGGCGAAAAGGAACAATTTCCGGAAAGTCCTTACTTCAACAGATCCTGAAACGAGTTTTAGCATCAACGTTTTGTGCTTATCGTGAGAATTACGGAATGGCAGAGTTCATAAAAAGCATTATCTTCATTGGATGTACCAATGAATGTGTCGTAGTATTGCTGGCTCATGTGTTTATAACAATTTTAGTGCCAACCATAATTGATATGCTAAAGGATTTAGGATTATTATGCATGGAAAAAGCAGAAAGAATCAATGCAGCACTGCAATCTTGTATATTGGTCCGGCTTATGAGGAAAATATCTAAATATGTTCAATGATATTCTAGAAATTATTGCTTCTTTCTTGAGAAATGAAAAAAAAGTACAGCAGCAAAAAATCGATAGATCTTTTAATAACTAGTATAGCCATACTGTTGGATATACATGTGTACAGCTAGAAAAAGTTTAATTTTAATGGTTCTTAAAATTGTATATGCTTTTGCTTGATAATTTCATTCAAAAAATTTTATGTTACTTTTATTATTGATAAAATGCTATTTGTATTATAAACGTTCTCACATTTCACGAAATCCAAAATTACATATTTTACAATGGTTTCTAAAATGTACAAAATCAGAAGTGAAATGAATACCAAAGTAAATGCTTTCAACAGTGAATAAGTGTAGCTAGACTATCATTTTTAAAACTAAACATATGTGCAACAATACAAAAGATATTCTTGATATAGAAAGATCTTAGTTATTTTTGTCTTGATTTTAGAGAGCTCGTTAATAAAGATATGATCTGTATAAATTTATTGGTCTTTTGAATATCCTGTCGATATGTTGTCATCGCAGAATGTCATGATTTTCCCAAACGTTCATGTATATCTATTATATAGTCATTTTATAAAATTTACTGTTTGCAAAATTATAAATTATTTTAAATAATAAGGATGTTCTTGTCCCAGGCAGAAAACCCTGGCCGTGTTAGGCGCAACTTTTTGGAAGTTTTGGTCCTCGGTGCTCTTCAGCTTTGTACTTATTTTGGCTTTCAAACTTTTTTCATCCGAGCGTCACTGGCTGGTCTTGTGTGGACGAGACGCACGTCTGGCGTATTGAATTTTAAGCCTAGTACCTTTTGTTAGCTATTATTCGTGTTTTTCTTTGTCCTATATGTTCTCCAATTTATTTGTATTGTGGTCATGTCATGTGATGCTGTCGTTTTGGTGTTGTGTTTGACGTTGCCATAAAAGCGGGAGGTTTGGCATGCCACAAAACCAGGTTCAACCGACCATTTTTTTCTTAAAATGTCCTGTACCAAGTCAGGAAAATGGCCATTGTTATATTATAGTTCGTTTCTGTGTGTGTTACATTTTAATGTTGTGTTTTTGTTGTGTCGTTGTTCTCCTCTTATATCATGTATATTTGATGCGTTTCCCTCAGTTTTAGTTTGTAACCCGGATTTGTTTTTATCCCTATCGATTTATGAGTTTCGAACAGCGGTATACTACTGTTGCCTTTATTTATATGGTCTTTACACAAAATCCTTATAAGGTTCACTGATTGATATTTAAGTCTGGGAGATCATGGCTTATTTATAAGTGCAATCCAGTTTTTAATATTTTACTCTGCCGGTTATAGTAATTTGTTGGGACGTTTAAGATTTGTAGAACCCCAAAAAAGACATGTTCAGATGACTTTTTAACATCCAATAACATATTTCCCTGCAAAACTTTCTGTTGTGTTTTTGCCCCACCTACGATAGTAGAGGGCATTATGTTTTTCGGTCTGTGTGTCCGTTCGTTCGTCTGTCCGTTCGTCCGTTCGTTCGTCTGTCCCGCTTAAGTTTTTGGTCAAGGTAATTTTTGATGAAGCTGAAGTCTAATCAACTTGAAACTTAGTACTCATGTTCCCTATGAAATGATCTTTCTAATTTTAATGCCAAACTAAGACTTTTGATCCCAGTTTCACGGTCAAGTGAACATATCAAATGATAGTGCGAGTGGGGCATCCGTTTACTATGGACACATTCTTGTTCACTATGGACTTTCAAAATAATTGTTGTGCGAATTTCGAAATTTTTTCCGGAAGAAGTCAGATGTTTAGTTTATACAGTATTTATTAATGAAAAATTATAACAATGAAGTAGTACAATTTTACACAAAATTCAGATATGGGATTCGGAAACAAGTTTAGAATTTTTTTTATAAATCCGTCTCCCGGTCAGATGTTTCTTAACTTTAAATTTACTGGCATTATTCCCATTCTATGCACCAACATGATTGTAAATAAAGGCAACAGTAGTATACCGCTGTTCGAAATTCATAAATTGATTGAGAAAAAACAAATCCGGGTTACAAACTAAAACTGAGGGAAACACATCACATAAAAGAGGAGAACAAAGGCACAACAGAAACACTAAAATGCAACACACACAGAAACGAACTATAAGATAACAACAGCCATTTTTCTGACTTGGTACAGTACATTTTAAGAAAAAATGGTGGGTTGAACCTGGTTTTGTGGCTAGCCAAACCTCCCGCTTAAATGGCAATGTTAAATTTAACACTAAAATGACAACATTACATGACAAGGCTACAATACAAATAAAAGGAAGAACATACAGGACAGATAAACACACAAATAAACAATACAATAGAACATTACGACAAGCTAATAGTTATCAACGGTGCCAGGCCTAAAGATAAAGTGCAAAGTTGTGACAAATACGGCTAGGTTATCTGCCAGGGATAAAAAATATTTAGTATTTAGTAAACCTTTCCCAAATTTGCTAAACTGAAAAGTTAATTATTAAATTGATTTTTTTTCATATCATAAATTGTAAATTGGCTTAACATTTCAAAATTATAGTGTAATTTTGATTGAGTTAATCTATAACTGCGGGGAAGTTTTAAATAATAAAGTGCCAGTGAGTCCGTTGAATTGACAAGTTGAGTTAAAATTTGCATATGAGATCAACTGAACATGATCCCTTAGGGGATTATCTTGAAATCAGAATCGCTGGAACAATGAAATAAACGGAGCAGAGTGAAAGATCTCATTCTAATCTTACCAGTTGTCTATTTAATTGCTTAATACTGATCTGAAGAGGCAATCCCTTTTGAACTGATCTTAAATTTTCGTTCTAATAATGTGCTGGTTCATCACTATTTCAATTGGACAATTAAGCGTTCATAAACTTCGTCAATCTCATTTACATGTGCTTGTCCCGAGCCTGAAATCCAGTTGTTATGTCAATAAACAAAGGTCTGGATGGGGTCTGAATTTCTGTATTTTTTAATTGGTTATGCATTTTTTTCTATTTGTTTTGCCAATTAATCAATATTTCAGCACCCTATTGTTCTCTATTTTATTCTTTTTGACCGTTCTTCTCTATTCTTTATGTTATGGTATCCAATATTCTCTTTTTTGTAAACCCTATCCATATCCTCATAATTTTTTTTTGGTGCTGTTTTTAGGTATCTGATTCATTAGGACGTCGGCATATTTGTTTTGCAACAGCGCCATTCTTGTCCTTTCCGATTAAAAGATATTTCACAGGAAAGGTCCATTGTCATATTAGAGAAACATATTCACTCTTTCTTTTCTAATGAGTAACAATATGTGTCTTCACTTGTAAGCCCATTAGTAAGTGCTTCGGAACTGACATATATATAACATTCCTTTTCTTGTATTCCCCGTTGATAAATTTAGAAATTATTAAGAAACTTAGGTTCCAACTTCCTAAGGCAATGTTGTCCGTCGGTGATTTAGTTACTAGTATTCTATGTATGTCCTCTAATTAATAGAGCTCCTCGATTATTAAACATCTATTCATCATTGGCTTTCCAATTTTTGGGTTTGGGCGTTCCAGATAAAGTACAACGTAAATCCAGAAAAGCGCCTCGGACGATAACTCTTAAAAATTATAATGTGTTATTTTCATTTTCCTAAGCTCGTAAGTTGAAAAGAACACACTTTGAAATGGAAACCTTTAGTGTTTGAATTTAGATTTAGACGGAAATTTGCTAATTACAGAATTAAGGTTAAATGGCGAAAATGCCGCTTGTTTACATTGTCATTTTTAAAATGAAAACAACATGTTAAATAATTTCATGCGTCCGAAGCGCTTTTCTGGATTACCTTCATCAGGAACGATCAAAGCCGAATATTTGAAAGCCGAGAATGTACATGATGTGTAAGACCCGAAACATTTATAGAGCTATATGATAACAAAAAAAAACATAAAAAAGCCAAATCCATCTAAGGTCAACTTTACCTGAGGGTGTTAAAACCGTAGTTTCTTTATAATTTCAAAATTTATAAACGGACAAATTTTGAAAGGTTTGTAATTAAGGCAACGGAAGTTTACGGTGAAATTATCTATGTAAATAAATATATTATAAAGACAAATCCAGCTAAAAAAGAAATACTGATGGAATCGTATGAACTACACAAGAGGCGAGACCGGGTCAGAAGATCAGAATCGCGGAAAAGGAAAATAGAAATGAATCTCGCGACTAGGGTTGGCTCTACAAAGTGCGAAATTTGAACATCTCTGAAATGAACAGTTTAAAGTATTGAATGGAGAAATTTCGAAACAGAAATAGTTTAGATTTTGGCTTAAATATTTGTTAAATGCACTCGATTACAAGGTGAATCAATAACCATTCACGTATGCGACATCTGCCTGCAAATGTGCCATATTTTCATTCGGGGTAAAATGATGAACGAATTTGTAATATCGTCTGAAATTAAGCTTCCACAAAGACTGGAAAGTTTTAAGCACATCTACGTACTTTTCCCGCTTTGGAAAATCTGGGAAAATGTGGTATTCGACCTCTAATTGTTTTATCTTGGAAAGAAGATCTTCCTGTATAATATTTTCTAATACATCCCACTCGTAACCTTCAATGTCCAGTTTAAGAATATCTAGAGTCATCTGGATGTAAAAAATGAGAATCATCAATATACAAAACGAAAACTGAAAAAGATATAAATTGAGAATCACCGACATGTAAAATGAAAGGAAAAAGTAGAATCAGGAAGAATTAATAAAAAAAGAAAAACTGAGAATCAACGAGTTGTAAAACAAGAAACAACCGAGAATCAGCAAGTTGAAAAAAATAAAAACAAAAGAGGAACAACGAGTTATAAATGAAAAAAAAAAAATGAAAATTGGCTAGTATTAAAAGAAAAGAAAAATTAGAATGAGCAAATGTAAAAAAAAAAAAAAAGAAATGAGACTTGGCAACATATAACAAGAAGAAAAATTGATAGTCGACAAGATATTATAAAAAAGAAGAATGAAAATCGCCAGCATGTCAGAAGAAGTATCTTTTCAGTTCTGTTTTATGTTTGACAAATGAATTAAGAGTAATATTGGTACACTATCTTTTATTTCTTAGTATATTTCTCAATTATGCTTGGAATATTATCATATTGGTCATTTACTAAAATGGCCTTCAACTAAATAGTCATTACAACATTAAAGACCAATGATACGATATTCCAGAGCTTGTCTCTCATATCATGATTTCATTCATAGAGGTATGCTGCTTACAAGGAAACGATTAAAAGAGAGGCGAAAGATACCAAAGGAATATTCAAACTTATAAGTCAAATACAAATTGAGGGCAATAACTCATATAAGGATATCTGATAATTGTAGTTATATAAACAACAGGTAGTTATTAAAAATTTAAGCATTTTTTGGCAAGTGTCAATAAAGATTTGCAAGTTTTCTCTATCTATTATGATGACAATAGCTCATAGAAAGCTAAAAACAAATCGTTTAGCAAAAATTAATATCTGCAGTAGACATGCTAAAGGGGAAGATATCTGCTTGTAAAGCTAGGTAGTAGCTAAGTAAAATGCAGAGCCTGAAAGTTTCAGAAGATATTACTTATTCTAATAGTAAAATACTGAAATGTTTTGAATGGCAAAAACACGCTCTTTGCATTTTTCCAATTGAATTATATATTGTTACAAACAGCTTATACGCCTCTTGTTCACTATAATATATATGATAAACAACAACCATTTATATGTTTGAAAAAAGAAAATTTGACCTACTTGCCACCGTTTTCTACATAGAAAATTTCTTGTAAGGAAATGCCTGTACCAAGTCAGTAATATAATAGTTGTTTTTCATTCGTTTGATGTCTCTTAAGTTTTGATTTTGCCATATGATAAGGAACTTTCCGTTTCAATTTTCCTTGGAGTTCGGTATTTTTGTTATTTTACTTTTTACCAATAGCGAAGTCCAAAAACATGGACCAGATTTTAAATTATTGTAATGTAAAAAAAAAATAAATTTGGTATTGTATAAGAGTTAGACCAGAAACATGTACCAAATTCGCCATTGCATAATGCGCAGTAAACTTAAGGACTCATTAACATATTCTAACATGAGTAAAACGGCGAGTATAATATTAACTACCCTCCCAAAACGTTTTTTTTTTATATTGCTCCATCCAAGGTTCTATATGTAATGGTTAATTGAACAAAATCTGTCTATTCGTCCTTTCTCTCCCTTTTTTCACAGTTAAAGTAATATGCAGAATATTAATACAATATATTGTAAGAATATGGTTAATTTCGTAAATGGTTTTAAGTTCATCTATTAAAAGTTGATCACAATAAAGTAATATGCTTACATTTTGATGGCCTAGATGGGAAAGGATTGTTGACAACTTTTTAAGCTTCCATGTGTTTTTTTGTTCTTCTCTGGTATACATGGTATATTCGTTTGTCCTCGGAGTAAATAAATCATCGTTGTGACTTCCTATTCCAAACGTGTGAAAAACCACACCACTTTCTCTTGTATGTTCACTAACATTCATACTGAAATTATTGTCGCATTATGAATTTTACTGCTTATTTGAATAAAAAGAAATCAAAAGTTTAAGAAACCAAAGGTTAAGCAATTGAACAATAAAACCAAAACCAAAAAGACATCTATAGGGAAATATGCTTCAGATTATAATTACGTCTACAGTCCAGTGGCCTTGAAATTTTACTTTGCAATCATAATGAATAGACAAATATATGTATTTAATTGTAGACCTTTTTTTTAATTGTTGTCGAAGCTTTTATGGCAGATTATACGGTAAAGGACTTTCGAATGTATCAATCGCGTACAGTGGACTTAAGTATAGTTGCTTACATCCACATAATTTGGAATATAGTGGATAGTTGTCTTATTGTCAATTATATTCTCTTAAATTGTCATATATATCGCTCCAATGGATGCCAATCTACGTGTTGACCGAGTCATAAAGTATTACTTATGTCCCTCAATCCTTCCGGTATCACAGATCCTGGAATTGTCACCTTTTGCGTCGTCCTGGTCGTTTAGTATTTGTTATATGGAATGCACATTTGGTGCAGGGAAATTGGTACCGTTTATATTATTATAGCTTCTATTTCTATAAACAAATAACTATAGATAATGAATTTATTTTGAAATAGGGGCCTCGGTGGCCAAGTGGTCTAAGTAGTTCTACTACTGTAATCACTAGCCAGTCAACACTGAGGTTGTGAGTTCGAACCCTGCTCGTCCGGGTGCACTCGACTCAAATCTTAATTGACTAGGATTGTCAGTTTTCCTATCGAAGGTCGGTGGTTTTCTCCAGGCACTCTGGCTTCCTCCACCTATAAAAACTGACCGCCACGAAATAACCCAAATGTGGCGCTTAAAAGTGGCGTTAAAACACCAACCATCAATCAATCAATATTTTGAAATAGATTCTGAGTGTCCTTTGGTATTCCATAAACCGACTATATATTACTAAATTATGTTTTTGGTAATTTTCTTATATTCTAACAGTAATCCTTATTGTTATGTTAAGTTTATAAGATGCTTTTTCTTCGACTCTAAAGTCAAACTTTACAAAACCTACAATACTATTCTTCACTTCACATTCTAAACATTATGATACTCTTTAACTGTTTTTTAGCTGTTCCTTCTTAGTAAGATCAGTCCTAGGCTTTGATATTTTAATAGTTTTAGCTATAATTAGTTACAATTTTTCGATATCGTAGATGAATGATTCCAGATCTGCTAATGTAGTTTTTAACATTAACAATTATTTAGACAGTTCAACTAAAATTAAGACATAACCGAATTATTGATGTCAATCGTTTCCAATTCAGTTGTATAAAGCTTTAAAAAGTATAAAAATAGCTATTTTTAAACAGGAACCAACTTTAAGCATACAAATACCTTGGATCAAAAGAATGAACTTCACATCCAAGTGTTGCCATTGCATCGTCAAACCGGAAGTCGTTTCCAATTCTGATAAACAAAATAAATGAGAATAGCGTTTGGAAGCACCAAATTTATAGCATTATTTCCTCATGTATGAATCTTATTTATTAAATTATGTGAAAATCTGCAATTTGGTGTTCCTGTTATAATTTATTACTTTCAATTATTTGAAGCACGGTAGTATTTTCAAAAATATGTTTTGACAACTCTGTTTTTTGGAAGATGTGTGGAAATATGTTCAACTTGTATATGTAGGATCGAGGGTATTTTTCGGTACAAAATAAATATAAAGATTTAATGAAAGTTTTAAATGTTGTACTTTATTAGCCATGGTCGTCATGACCTTTATGTTTCATGATAATATTTTTTAACCAAAACATATATAGGATTGTTTGCTGTTGTTGGTCTTAAAACGGTTTTTTGTTCGGAAGAATCACTTAATGGTGGTTCTTGTGGTCTGTTGAACTGCCAAATATTTTTTTTCGAAATTTGTTTTCCTCTTTGGTATAACACTATTGAGCGAACAGGCAATATACAATAAGAGTTTTGATGCACTTTAAATTGTCTGTTTTTCAAACAGGTGATCTCAAGTCAAGCCAAAACTTAACCACACCCCATACATTATAGGCATTAATTGTGTAGCCTGTCTGTCACTCTGGATATGCTTACACTACCTACGCACGTGATATGAACTCTCTCTCTCTCGTTTTTTTAAATTTCAACGTTCCATGATTGCTTACACATGTTCATGTCTTACTGATACGTTTTGTTCTGAGGGTGAAGGTGTCTTGATATGGCTTTGATTTCTGGATATTAAATGTTTGACTCTTCACTTATATTCTTGAAATTATATATTTCTTAAAATATCATACCCGAAAGAATAAACTAAACAGAGTTTATCTGCAAGTATTTTATATGGATATGAGTTGCAGTCCCACCAGTTACCACGTGACTTCATATAGGAACAGCGATAATCCTTTTGAACAGCTTTCAAATCACTGAAATAAGTAACTCAATTTTCCAATTGTATGTGAGTATGTGCAGACCAAATGATTAATTGAAACTGCCTTCTTAACTCAATTTAAACGATAAATTTACCTAGTGAGTAAAAAAAGAGTTTTGATATATTCATTTAAATATAGACGAACATGAAAATAAGCTCTAGATAATGCTAAATGTCATTATAAAATAGTACAATAAACACTGGTTAGATTTCGTCCTTTTTTGAAGCATGTGAAAGATGCTTATTCCGGGCATTGCTACATCGTTTTGTTGATAAGTCTAACATCATTAAATAAGAAAGCATAATACCATTTCGGATGTAAGCAAGTAAGTTTTATATCTAACAAAAAGAAAGACAATCCTGTAATAATTGTATGTTACTTTTCTTTTTCCTTTTTTATTCTTATATTGGGGGAAAAAGGTGTTCTCATTTGGTTTTTGATGTGTTTCGCAAGCGATTTTCTAGGTTGAACTATACAAATTAAAAATGTTGACTATGAAAAAATAAGTCAATTCAGGCAAAGTATACGTTGTTTGGAGGTTTTTTTATTTTAATGAAATTGTTCGTACATTTAGAACTCGTTGACCTGTGTCTTAATATCAAAAAGTGGTATATGTAGGATGAAATTGATAATACTCTTTTAAATTACGGTGTATTGATAGTATAAGCCGTATGTATGCAATATGTAGTTGTCAAGTCAACAAAGGCAAAACACAGATTAAATTTGTGTTCACTTATACGGATTTCACCAAAATACACTTATGTCTTCTCAATACACGTTTATCAATGATAATTACAGTCTTTATAAGGAGAAAACATGACGGATAAAATTTAATGCCGTGCATTAATTGACTTATTACGAAAACTCGGCATGTGTTCGTTGAACGAGTAATATCATCAGTGTTCCATCAACATGCTCTTTGGTCTATTTGGAGAATCTGGAAGTGGAGCTTCGATACCAGTTACAAGAGAGAGGCGGATGATACCGATGGGACATTCATACTCAAAAGTCGATAACAAACTGACAAGACCATGGCAAAAAACGAAAAACGTCCAAAAGACAACAAAACAAAACACAACATAGAAAACTAAAGACTGAGCAACACGAACCCAACCAAAACCGAGTGTGATCTCAGATACTCAGGAAGGGTAAGGAAATCCTGCTGAAAATGTGGCACCCGTCGTGTGCATCTTTAATAACTATGATAACACAACAATGATAATCATGCATAGTGATAACCATTAGTGCTGTGGCTAATCAATATAATCACAATTGATTGATGGATTGATGGATTGATTATTTGTTTGATGTATTTACTGATCAAAGGCTTCTTAAACTTCAGCATATGATAAAATCATCGGGTCTAAACTGATTAACTGGAATTTGAGTTTTTCAACTAGGATATTTTAACAACTTTTAATACAGTATTTGATTTGAATATAGAGCTATAAATTGACAATTTGTGGTTTAATGGCTTTCTCAAAATTTGGAGTTGAACACCTGTTATCTCGAGATTCACATGCTTGCATCTCATTGCAAACAAAGTTGCAGCTAAAATTCTACTTTTAGAAAATAATAAATACTCTGCAAGTTCTAAAAATGCCTTCCACCAATCTGTTGTTGGATCAAGTTCGTCAGCAAAAATGGTAGGCTGTCTTCTCAAATCTAAACTAAGGGAACCACCAGATCTTATAAAACGTCGCCCACCACGTTTGATTATTCCTTGCGATAGCCCTCGTTGTTTGACTTTTACTATTGATGCAGGCTTGTTTGGTTTCACTTTGTGTAATAGTTTAGGTACACCTTTAGTGTCTCTTTTTGGAATTAAGCTTCTTGTAGTTTTAAGAGGACTGTAAGTTGTAGAAAGTTTTTGTTGAATGTCTAAATTTTCAGAATTTCTATTATCACCTTCAATGCCTGAAATACAAACATTGAATAGAATGTCATCACATTTTGGAATTAGCTTCTAAAACAAACTCTCAGTTTGTATTCATAACGGACATAATCGAACATTTGATTTACAAAAGGTCTATTTTTTTTTATTTTTTTATTTGGTTTGTATTTCACAATATATATTGTTTTCTATGTTGTGTTTTGTAGACTGGTTTTTTCGTTTATAGTTTTTTTTTTTCTTCTTCTTTTGGTTTTGTCATTCACACATTTATACCTTCTTTATAAGGAATTGTCTTCAATGCTCAACTGTTTACTACATTTAACTTTTTGACTTTTTTATTCGAGCGTAAATTATGAGTCTCCGTAAGCAAATACAGCTTATTGAATTTACGCAATATAAATATTCAATGAACAATATACATCATAATATAACATTTATACACAAAGTATACAAATAATGAATGAATGGGGCGAAGTATGACATGCTAACATATTCAACAAACAAAAACATTTGAGTAATTTACCATTACGTGCTTTTCCTGCAGAGTGTTAATATTTTCCAAGGTTG